GGTCTGAACAGTAAGAAATTACCCATCTGCCTAAATTCAGTACAATGGCCATCACTGAAGAAGTGGACAGATGGTATGTTGTCCGGTACTGGCTCAAATGGGGACCTTTTTGCTTGTATTTTGAGATGGTGCAGAAGCAGAGGGGGCTTGCATTTTCACCAACATATAACACACCTGTGTGCATTGTTGCCTGTTGGAGTGAGGCACCAAAATGCACAGCGTGGATCTCAGCAAAGAAGTAGATTTCCAAGAATTCTGAATTTGGCTCTACATCTGGCTCTGCATCATACACTGATCTATGGTTGCTGCATTTGCTGCTTTGGCTGTTGTGCATTTCACTTGTGCTGCTGTCCAATTCCACTACTTGGCTCTCCTTTCTCTGACATTTAGTTCAGTAACAGACAGCTTTTCCCATGTGTCTCTGTCCTTTCTCCATTTTGCCCTCTCTTTTTCAAAATATGCTTCTCATCTCTTGGGATTAGCATCTCTACAAGGTCTTTATCTGCTGCTGTTTCTCAGCTGCAGAAAGAGGCATCCTAACAAAATTGAATAAAATACAGATACTTAAATCGCTTAGTTAACAGCAAACTTTTTGGTGGATAAACCCAATGCAATGATAGTATATTAATTTTGATCAGTATAGATCAGTAACCTCAAGACATTGTAGCATACTTAGCTGTAGAATAAATAGAAAACCATAATATTTAGGGATGAAATCTGTTGGCTCAACACAGTCATCCAGGTCATAGTTATCCAAGAAGGGTTGACTCTGGGGCAACTAGACTTGGTTGAAGATACTTGAAGATGTTTCAACTCTCATTCAAGGGGCTTTTTCAGTTCCAAATGACTTGTGGGGAGTCCCAGGTATTTTACCTCTATTAGGTCATTATCAAAGTCATTGATACCAAGTTGCTGGTGCTCCTGGCTAAGTAATGACGGTCGTTAGGGTCATTGGAGTTACCACACCAGTTATTTAGAACTGAAGAAGCCTCTTGGATGACAGGTGAAATGTATATATTAAACATTTTAAATTCTCTGGCTCCTTTAAACCTCGACTGTTTCCTTCACCCATTCTGCCCCATGGTTTACATCAGAACTACGCCAGCTCAAGATCGTCGCCTGGAACGCCTTTACAAGAAAACTGGACTCGTTGTGCACCAAGAAATGTACAAAAACCACATTCTCCACAACAAGGACGCTCTTTTTACAGCCAAATCCACCTATTATGCAGATATAATCAGTTCAGGCAAAGGTAATACCAGAACCCTGTTCTCCATGGTCAATAACATACTACAACCACCGGACTCTCTCGCACCTCATCTGTACTCATCTGTTTACTTAACCTTAATGTCATTTTTTAAAGCCAAAGTACACAAGATTGACCAGCAACTGACTACTAATACCTCTCACAGTCTTTTCAGTTCTCTGGACACCTCTTTCTCGTTGATTTTCAAGTTTCTCGCTTCCCTCTGTTGCTGAAATATTGGACATTATTAGAATTCGAAACCAACTACTTGTCAGCTTGACCCTCTTTCTACCGTCTTTGTAAAAGCCTGCTCAACCTCTCTCTCTTCCCAAATAACTACCATTATACATTCCACTGTTCCCTCGTCTCTAAGATAAGCTGCAATAACTCCTATACTTACAGTCGCATATCAGGTCCATGAACACATGTCTGACAATAACCTCTATGAACAATTCCAATCTGGTTTCCGTCCCTGCCATAGCACAGAAACAGCGCTGGTAAAAATCACCAATGATCTTCTCATGGCAGCTGATTCTACTACTAACTATTCTCATTCTCCTTGACCTGAGTGCAGCCTTTAACACCATCTCTCATAACATCCTCCTTGAAAGATTAGTCTCTATTAGTTTCATTGACACACCCTTGGACTGGTTTAAATCATATCTCTTGGGCTGCACTCAGTTCATCCAATTCAAACATTTCAAATCAGAGCTATCCCCTGTCACTACCAGTATTCCCCAGGGCTCTGTCCTAGGGCCTCTTCTGTTCATCATCTACCTGCTTCCTCTTGGCCATATCTTTTGTAAATTTAATATCCATTTCTACTGTTATGCAGATGACACCCAGCTCTACCTGTCCACCAAACCTACCACACCTCTCCCTCTCTGATTGCCTAATGGAAATCAAATCCAGGTTCTCTTGCAGCTTCCTCAAACTAACAGTGACAAAACCGAGGTTCTCCTCCCCCTCCCATAAGTTCAAGAGTCTGGGTGTCATCCTCGATAGCACACTTTCATTTCAAGCTCACATTAATATCACTCTGTCTGCATACTTCCATTTACGTAACGTTATTCGCCTCCGACCGTCTCTCTCACCCACTAGTACAGCCATTATCGTTCACACACTGGTCACATTGATTATTGTAATTCTCTTCTTGTTGGTCTTCCTCTCAAATCCATACATAAACTTCAACTGGTTCAGAACTCTGCTGCCCGTATCATTACCAGAAACACTTCTATTAATCATATTACACCTGTCCTTCAACAGCTTCATTGGCTCCCAGTTAAATATCGCAGTGATTTCAAAACTCTGCTCCTGACCTTCAAGGCCATTCATAACCTCGCTCCTCTGTACCTCACTGGCCTCCTTCATATTAACACACCCACCCTTCACTGTACCTCCTGCTCGTTTGACCACCATGGAGTTCAGAGCCTTCAGCCACTCTGGCCCTCGTCTCTGGAACTCTCTTCCGCCAGACATCCGAAACACTGACTCACTTTCCATTTTTAAATCCCGCCTGAAAACACATCTTTTTAATCTGCCATATCCCACATGATCACTCTTTCTCAATCTTTGTTTCCAGTTTTTTTGTACCCTGATTTTATGGACTGTAATTATAGTTGTTAATTATCGATTATAAATTATATAGAAATGTTAATGACAGCCATTATAAGCTATGTGGTAAAGGTCATGAAGCCACATGGTTGTATTTCAAACAAATAACTTTTTTAAAGTTTGCTTTTGTGGTAACACAATGAGCTTGTCCCTCTTTGTCAGACATTACATTACTTTAATTACTTACAAGAAGAGGACTCTTGTCTTTTACCATGAACTTCATAAAAGGCAGATGAATTGATTCAACTTTCGGAACCTTCCATTATCTCTGAAGGTGTTTTCATTAAATGTAACAGGATAAATGACAACAAGGGAACCCGACTAAATTGTTGGTTTTTTTCAACATTTTACTCATTAAGAATAAAACCCATTCATAAGTAATGAAACAGCACTTGAGGCTTTATAATGTTTAGATTTTTATTTGGTAGTTTGACCCTTTTTTTCCTTAATAGCTAGTAAAAATAGAATAATCTAACAGGCCAGTTTTAAGATTTCTGCAAGATCGCACAAAAGTGATTAAAAGTCTTTAATAAAAATATTGAATTCTTCTACATATTATGGAAACTTTTATTCTTTATTTAGATTTATAGGCCAGTTTTATTTGAAGGACACAAAATGGCAAGTTTTCCTGTAGCAACCCAGAGATATGGGTGAAAAGTAAAGCGTTTTACCTGAACTGGCTGTTTGTTAGTTTTTTTCTCTAGATTTTCAACAACTCTGTCTCTGTACTAGTACTCATATTTCCTGCTTCGTTAAACACAAGTTTAGTGAGGCAGTGGACCGAGATCTCAATAATTGTTTTGGGGAGTACATTGTTATAATGATATGGTGATAATTCAGAATTACTGAATGACCCACAGACCCACCATCAATATCAGATTTTATTTTGCATATCAACAATTCCTGATATCCATGCACACACTATAATGAGCTCACAAGTTGGCAGAGATACAGAGCGAGAGAGAGAGAGAGAGCGAGATAGAAAAAGAGAGAGTTAAATATTATACAGTATCTCACAAAGGTGAGTACACCCCTTGCATTTTTGTAAATATTTGATTATATCTTGTCATGTAACAACACTGAAGAAATTACACTTTGCTAAAATGTAAAGTAATGAGTGTTCAGCTTGTATAACAGTGTAAATTTGTTGTCCCCTCAAAATAACACATCACACAACCATTAATGGATAAACCACTGGCAACATAGGTGAGTACACCCCTAAGTGAAAATGTCCAAACTGGGCCCAAAGTGTCAATATTTTGTGTGGCCACCATTATTTTCCAGCACTGCCTTAACCCTTTTGGGCGTGGAGTTCACTAGAGATTCACAGGTTGCCACTGGAGTCCTCTTCAACTCCTCCATAAGGACATCACAGAGCTGGTGGATGTTAGAGACCTTGCGCTCCTCCACCTTCCGTTTGAGAATGCCCCACAGACAGGGTTTAGATCTGGAGACATGCTTGGCCAGTCCATCACCTGTACCCTCAGCTTCTTTAGCAAGGCAGTGGTCGTCCCCTCAATGAACTGTAGCTCCCCAGTGCCGGCAGCACTCATGCAGCCCAAGACCATGACACTCCCAACACCATGCTTGACTGTAGGCAAGACACACTTATCTTTGTACTGCTCAACTGGTTGCTGCCAAACACACTTGACACCATCTGAACCAAATAAGTTTATCTTGGTCTCATCAGACCACAGGACATGGTTCCAGTAATTCATGTCCTAAGTCTGCTTGTCTTCAGCAAATGGTTTGCAGGCTTTCTTGTGCATCATCTTTAGAAGAGGCTTACTTCTGGGATGCCATGCAGACAATGTGATGCATTATGCAGCGCATGGTCTGAGCACTGACAGGCTGACCCCCCACCCTTTCAACCTCTGCAGCAATGGCAGCAGGGTAAGAGTGCTAACACCATATTTAACACACCTGTTCCCCATTCACATCTGAGACCTTGAAACACTAACAAGGCACATGACACTGGGGAGGAAAAAAGGCTAATTGGGCCCAACTTGGACATTTTCACTTAGGGGTGTAGTCACTTTCATTGCCAGTGGTTTAGAATGGCTGTGTGATATGTTATTTTGAGGGGACAACACATTTACACTGTTAACAAGCTGTACACTCACTACTTTACATTGTAGCAAAGTGTCATTTCTTAATTGTTGTCACATGAAAAGATATCAAATATTTACAATAATGTGAGGGGTGTACTCCCTTTTGTGAGATACAGTATACTCCACCTAATGTATTGCAGAGGATAATAAGACAGCAGCAATCCATATTGCTTGCACTGAATTAGTGTTACAGTGACAAAAAAGAGGCTATTAAAATTGGTTAACTTCATTTATAAATGTCTAGTTATATTTTCAACCAACTTTTGTAGAAATGTTTTATTGGCCTGATACAATTTTGTCTTCATTTATCTGGAACCTGATATATCTTACTATATATCTACATATTTCATACAAAATAAATACTTATATAATGCATGATACATTTAGTATATCATCACTGTAAACATGAAAACAGAACAGACATCATATATACTGTACTACAGGTACTGCAGAGTCAAACAAAAGTGCTTGATAATAGACAAAGATAATATGCACCCCTGTTGTTACTGTGATTGTTCAGAGGTCGGCTAGCACCATATGAAGCTTTTTTATATTTATTTTTGGTATTTTTCTAACTCAGCTTTTTGTCTTGTTCTTTTTAACTTGCAGTTGCAGCATATCCATTAATTTCCCCTCTGTAGTCCTCTGAAATTCTGGTTCAGACAGAGTCCACCTTGACCTGGTTATTGTTGGTCATGAGTGGTGACGGTTTACTCTTGAGCCTCTCCCCTGCATCGTTGGAGCTGTCCTGGAAGAAGATGCGTGCCGTGCACACTGACACTACAATGCGCTTGTACTCTCGGCGGAAGTTCTGGTTCAGCACACCATACACAATGGCATTAAGGCAGCTGTTGAAGTAGGCCATGAAGTAGCTGGCCACAAATAACCACTCAGGGATGAGGGGAACCACTACCTCTGGTTTGATTGCTACAGCCAGACCAATGAAGTTGAGTGGCGCCCAGCAAACAGCAAAGAGCACAAACACCACAAACATGGTGACAAAGTTTCTAACGTCGTGTGGCGTTAGTTTAGGCCGATTGTCTGGCTTGACCCGTCTCCTCACCTGTATGACCAGTATCCAAATGCGTAGGTAGCAGTAGGTGACAATCATGATGGGTAAAATAAAGTGAAAGAAAACTACAGCGATAGTGTACGCTGAGCTGGCTGACTGTTCAAAGGTGCAGGAGTAAACTCGTGGGTCATACTGAAGTGAACCCACGAACAGGTTGGGCACGATGGCCACCACAGTCAGCACCCAGATTAACATCACATAGCATACAGAGTTTTTGTCACTGTACAGTTTATCATACTTTAGGCTGTGGCAGATATAACAGTATCGATTGATGGCGATGCCTGTGATGTTAAAGATGGAGCCAATGACGCTGACGCCCATGAGGAAGCCGCTGATCTGGCAGTGGACGTAACCCAGGTTCCAGCCATTGTGGAAGATGGAGGTGAGGACCAGAGGGTATGGGTAGATGGCCACCACAAGGTCTGCCACTGCCAGGCTCACCACAAAGATGTTCCCTACAGACAAAACACACACCCACAGGAGAGACAAGGCAGGACACATGAGTCAGTGACAACAGAAGCAGAGCAGATTGGTCATACAAATGAACGAGATAAAGAGAGCGTAAGCGATTGTGCTGAGATTGTGCCAAATTATCCATTCAGAAACAATTTGTAATTTTGCTTGTTTTAGCACATTTGTTTTTCCCGATCTTTCTGCCAGAAATTTCTTTCTGTATGGAGAAAGAAATGTCAACTTACCGAGGACATAGCAGAAAAACATGATCATAGAAAAAAATGTTTTATACTGCAATGACATTTAAAAGAGAAGTAAAATCTGCCTGACAGGGAGGACAATCCATTTTAAAATCCAAATACCTATAGTATGCTTTGGAAAATAGCTGGCAGTAATTTAAGTATACATGATTTGTAAATATGCTAAAACATGCTTAAACACCAGCACAATCCTTTAGAGACATCCATTTGTTTTGTAGCTATTTCGTTACGTAAGCCACGGGGAAAGGGCCTCAAGGCTAGATGCTGAGAGGGAATGCATCTGCACATTTTGTATTGTTTGTGTGTATGTGCATTTATGCGCTTGTGTGAACACATTTGGTTTCCCCTGATGATTTGGCATGTGTAAACTTCAACTTGCATTCAATTGTCAGCTTTTAATTTTGGGGAATAATGAAAAGGAGTCCCCTGTCACAAAATAATGCATTTCTAACTGCCAGCAAGGACTCCACATTGTGCATCTCAGGCACACATGATCTACATGCCGAGTGATAATCAAGAGCACACAAGTGTATTCTTTGTCTCCAAACTGATAGGAAAGTTAGGCATGGCTTGTTGGAGAACAGGGTGTTGCATGCAGAGAGGCAACCTCTTTCAAGAGAAATACATGACATGCATTTGAGAGGGTCAAATATCCTATTACACTTTGCGTCTCCAGTTTTCCTTAATTGCGCAGACCTAGCATTATTTACTGTTTAGTGGCCTGTTACGAGGATGGTGGAAGATCCTAACATCTAGCCACACTGCATTATCACAGCTGTCACTTATTTATTAGTGGAATGTGTTGTATGTATTATGTAAGCACCATATTACGAGGCCTAATGACAGGTCCAGATCCAGTTTTGCCTATGTGACAACACCCTGTCACAGATTATAAGATGCATTTACTGCATGTCAGATGGGAACTAAGCACATTGTATAACTCCACAATCACTGCAGTGCAAGAGGCAATTTCATTTCCGACCTGACGTTTGGCCTGTCAGTATCAGACACACTCCCCCACCTGCAGGCAGACCTGTCAATCTCACCTGAGCATTAGAAGCTCACTACTGATGTGGTGGGTTATCTCCCGTAGAACATACCAACCATTCTACTGCTAGGGATCACATGGGGCTATTAATTGCATTTTTTCTTTTTAAATCTGTCATTCATCTGCCCTCTATAGGGAATTAGGTGCACCTGCTGTTGTCAAGATCCCATGGCTGCTAGAAAGCTTTACTGAGTCTGTGTGTGAGTGCGCTCAAGCATCTATCTTTGTGAGGACCTTGAGAATGAGGACACTTTTTTGAAAGAACATTTTCCAAAACGTGCAGTCCCAGGGCCTATATGAGCATACATTGTAGAGTTATCTTGAACTCATGTGCGTACATGTAGATCTGTGTGTGTGTGTTTGTGTGTGTGTTGTTGGCATTAAAGCACAAAGCTTCAATTTAGAATTAGGTTGGAGAACTGGAGGCAGTAAAACAAGTTTGTTATCACCACATAACGTTGTTTTGATTAACATGAATGTTAACAACCAGTTACCTATTTACACATCTAGCTGTTGTAAGTCCAATATTCACTTTCCTTTTAGCTATGTGTTTGGTCTCCACCAACTTGAAAGGGAAATATCTGGCAATTTGGCAACTAAATTGTCCACCGTGTTTACTAGCTAATCACTAACTCTTTAAGTGCTGGGCAGGTAGCTTAAGATATATATATATTTTTTTTTTTTTTTTTTCTGAAAACCGCTCCCTGCTGTGACTGAAAACAATGTTGCTGAGAGTAGTAGTGAGAGTGAAACAAAACAATTGGGGGTGTAGTGATTATAGTTAAGGTTAGACTAGGGCTCCAAGTGACAAAAACAATTGAATATGTGTGTATGTGTGTGTGTGTGTGTGTGTGTGTGTGCAGAAATGAGGGCTGGCTGCAGTTAGTCAAGCTCTCTGCATACTGCCAAATGAGAACATGTTTTCCATGTTCAAAGAAGGTGTTGAGATGACGTGCAAACAGACATATTTAAGGGACTACCTTTCCCCCATTGGCATATCTTTACTGTAACAATCCTGTTATAGTTTATGTTTTAAACTCAAGTCACTCAGTATTAACAACCTTGACCTTGACAAGGCCATGTCGTGGCAGGCCCACAGGCAGCTGGCTCTTTTGCCTGTTGGACTCACTCACTCACTGTCTCTGTCACTGTGACTAGTTCTGTGATTGACGCGTCACTCTGAGTTTTCATTTGGCTTCAGGAGAGATATGGCCTGCCGCTGTGTCCCTTTTCCATTTCTGCAATCCCACATTTTCAACCAATTTCTGTTAGGATTTAGGTACAAGCGAAGCCTATCTGAGCATTTTTGCCAGTGTAGCACACAATGAATTTTGACACACATTGGCAAACTGAAAAGACATATAGTGCATTTAGACAGAATCTAGCAATTATCACAACAAAATGTTTTTAGGATTGTTTTCAGACATACTGACAATAACTTTCATGTATCACATCCAAATTAGTTTTAAAAGCCCAAGTCAATAATTTCAAAAAATTATTTTGGTAGTAATGATACTGCTGAGTCTGTATCCGCCTGGAGCATCTGAATTAGGATTTGGTCCCATTTTTCAGAGCACAGTTACTCCAGTTCAGTCAAGCTGAAAGTCAAGTGTCTGTGAGCAGCTATACTGAGGTCTTCCCACAGATTTTCCAAAGGGATTTAAGGCCTGGCTTTTACTGGGTCATACCAGGACTGTCACTTTCTTGTCCTGAAGCCACTGCAGTGACATGGAAGGGATTTGATACGGAGCTCAGCGTAAGTGCAGTCATGGGAGACTATTTTATTCTTAAATATTTCACTCCTACTCATTCATTTCATCCAATCAAGCTAGGCTCCACCCTTTGCCTCTTTTTTCAAAATCAAATCAGGTAAAATTCAAGAGGCCAGTCCCTATTGGTTCAAATCATCCAATCTAATAAGCTGAATACTAACCACTCATTAAATCTACACAGAAGCCACTCACTGATCCGTGTGTATTTTATTTACGCCAATCAGCTGCTCCTGCACTTCCATCTCAAAATGCTGACCTCCTCCACAGATAAAAAATAAACAGTAACACTGGCCAAGCCACGTGACTGACCAATTAAACAGTTACCCCCCATAATTGGGCTTCAGCCCCCGAATTAAGTCTAAGCCAAGAACTGATCTGTTTAATCAGTGAGGCTTTGGATTCATAAACATAGTCTCTCCTGAGTGAATTGGCTGTATATCCCTCCTGTTGGAAGAAAAACGGTCACAATAACATATGCCTTACACATTTGGATGCATTTAGTCTTCCTCCAACCTCACAAGTTCCCTGTCCCTCTATACTGAAAAGAGTGTCCACAGCATGAGAGTGCCACCTTCATGCATTACAGCAGGGACGCTGTTAGACTGTTGGTAGGCTGTCTGTTTCCTCCAGATTGCTCTGGATTACAGTTGAAGAGTTACATTTGTCATCATATCAGACCAATGTTTTGCTCTCGGAGTCATGCTGTTTTTCCAGCAGTGATGTCTTTCACTACTCTGATGTGTCGCCTGGCAAGTGCTGCTCTGACGGTTGTCATTCAAAATGTGCTATCTCAGGAAACTCCGTAGTTCTGTCAATGGTCCTTGGATTCTTTGTCACCTCTCTGACTCAGGCCCTCACTGCACAGTTGTTCTTTTAGCAAAACTGCGTGCTGTGAACTACAGAAAATTTTAGCTGTTAGATGTTTTAACATATAAATGCTAATTTTATTGTTGAACACAGTCTGTTATCCTGAAATCTTAACACATGAGTCTCTTTTGATCTAATTTCAATAGAATTTATGCAAAAAGATTGTTAAATTAAGAACATTTAAGTAATTTTACACATTCCACTTTCCTACATAAAATAATCCAATTCAGAACCTGTATTACAACCCAGGATGAAATGAAATGAAATCTCATGCTCAACAAATCATCTCTTCGTACTGTATATGTTTGTGTTTGAGGTCCCTTTTTCCCTCCAAAGCTGTGTAAAAATTTATATTTCCCAACTAATAATTTCAAACCCCAGCAAATCACTTTGAAACTTACACTTTAAAGGTCCCAAAATATGCAAAAAACACTTTTTCATGTGTCCCCGGTGTGTCTAAAAACCCCCAAACTATCTCTTTCTCCTGCTCAGTCTTTCAGTAAATGTGTGATCAAGCACGCTGTTTGAATTTGGCTTCCTACTTGATATCATGGAGGGATCTGCGAAACATAGGACCTCCTCCAGTCCTTCAGAGATGACGGCCCCGCCCACTGAACACATACTGAATACACCACTCTCAGCCCTACCATCCAACACCAAGAGGGTCATTCCATTGCTGAGCTAGAGCTGGAAGTTGTTCAATATGTCTAGCAAAAAGTGCTTTTACGGTTATGAAGGAAACATTTTCTGGTTTTCCCTCTCATGTCTTTCGGCGGCTCTGCCTCAACTCTGCGATTTACTGTTACAGGTTGATGATGAATATTAAACATGACTTTATTAAAATGGAATAGGTATTCAGTTTGATTTCAGATTTTGAGCAGGTGGTATACAGTGTAACATATGTGCCTTCGCCATATGATGTGCATGTGCTAAAGGTTAGAAGCAGGTGGCACAAATCTGATTATGTCAGCCTAAACACACTGTGGCCTTATGTCCACACAGCACCAATGAACAACAGTCGATATTTCATTACACATGGTCAAGTCTAATTGCTG